ATATATATTTAAAAATTACAATTAATACTAATATATAGTATATTTAGAGATTAATAAACTATAGTCTTAATAATAATAATAATAATAATAATTTGAATATGAATTACAAAACAAAACAAAAATATTAGACAACAAAACATTTATATTATTATTATTATATTACAGTATATTATAATTAATGGCAAATAATAATAATAGTATTAAACAAAACAAAAAAAAACTTGATTTGCTAGCCCTGTGATGGGTTTACTATTTTTTTACCGACAATTAATTTGCATAATATGTTGAAAATATTATTAAATATGTATATAAATTATATTTAAATAATAATTTTAAAGGTTATACTGTATTAGCCTAATAGGTCCCATGACCTTTTTTTTTATTATTATTTTATAACTAATTTGTTTGTTTGGACCCACTTTTTATTATATATATCCTATTAATATACATGCATATTTTGTTGTTGTTGAATAATTATCTATATATATATATATATATATATATATTGTATCAATTTTTTTTTGAAATGTATATATACAGTACCTATTGTTAACTCAATTATCTAACAAAAATTTTTTTATTATTTTTTTTGCTAAATGTTTAAAAATAATTTTTGTATTACATTACACGCGCATTAAATTAGCCAGGGCATCTGTTATTTTTATAAATAATATTTTTTAATACTATAATAATAATAAGTTAATAATAATATCTAAATTGTTAAACATTATTATTATTATTATTATTACATAATATGCATATCTATATTATTAACAATTGTTGGGCGCCTAATATATATATATATATATATAGTTATCAATAAATACTATGCATATAATCGCTATAAATTGTTTTTTGAAAATTTATAGTTTTATACCCCAAAAAAATAACAAAACTTTTACTATTTTTCAACAACAAAAAAAAAACTATTACAGATATTAAACGCTAAATTATAAATATATTAATGCCTTAATAAATTTTTTTAACTTTAAGCAATAGTTTAATTATGTAAATTTTTAGTATATTTTACTGTATTTTATGTGAATGAATAATACAATAAAAAATTATTATTATTATTATTATTATTGGGAGAGAAAATAAAACAATTGGCAAAACAAAACAAAATATAATACTAATAATTATAATAATAATAAAATAAGATATCATTATAATACTTATTGAAGGTAAATGTTAGTGAAATATAATTTTATATTTATATATATATATATATATTGTAAGACAATAACAATACAATAATCTGGGAGTAAGAGAGGAGAGAGAGAGAGAGCTAACCAAAAAAAACAAGTTTTGTTTTATTGTTATTAAACAATATATAGCTATAAGTTATAGTCAAATGAATGCCTAAATAAGTGCTTATATAATGAGTGCCTAACTATTAGTTGTTATATTACTATAYATATATGTAATGTATGTATATATTAGTTGACGGTTTTTATTTAGGTATACATAATGAATGAATGAAAGAGAGAGAGAGAGAGAGAGAGAGAGAGATTAATGTATATAAGTTAGTAAACGTTAAGTTTTCTTTATATATATATATATATATATAGTATGTAAAGCATCGTCTATTATCAACATCCAGGTGCTTATTGCCACATATATACTCTATAGTGAAATAATAGTTAGCATAATAATAATAATAACAACAACAACAACAACAACAACAAAAATATTATATATTATATATATATAGGATACACAATGTTATTATTTAATGGTTTAGACATATTATGAATACAAATTAGATTTATATATATATATAWAMTATACCTAAAAAAATCATTATCTAATGTCTCATCCGATTTAGAGGTTTCACCCATTGCTATCTCAATGACAAATATATATTAATATACTATAYATATATATATATATATATATATATATATATATATATATATATATATAAAAGTATCATATAATGATTTAGTTGACAAATTTGTTGTAATAATATTTATTACATCTAATATAATACAATATACAATAAAATTTTGTTGTTGCTTTTATCATGTAATATATATAACAAATATAATTTTTATATAGAAAATTATTATTATTATATAGTATTTATTTGTTGTATAGTTATGTTTTAATCAACAACAACAATAAAATTTAAATAATAACTTAAGAAACAACTAGTTATATATATATATATATATATATATATATATATATATATATATATATATATATAATTATTATATTGTGTATAACATTGTATAAATTAACAATAATAATAATAATATCAGTGTGTAATTTATGCTAATATAKATAWATAAGTTTAAGTATTTACTGTATAATATTTGTTAATATATACTAAAATATATATATATATATATATACATAATAACAAATTCAAGTATTATTATTATTATTTTTTTGTTAAACAAACAGCAAAACATCACTTAAAGTAATGATCTCTCTCTCTCTCTCTCTCTCTTTGTTTTAAATGTTTTTTTTCAGCAAAATATCTTTTTTTGGT